CAATGATGCTGTCTGGTGGAGAATGTTGGTGTTTGTTGGAAAACGGTGGTGTGGGTTGTTGAAAGATGGTGTTTGGTTGAGAATTTTGGTCTTCGGGTGGAGAATACTGGTGTTTGTTAGAGAGTGTTGGTGTGTGATGCTGAACCATGGCGTGAATGAGGAGGTGAGTCGTTTTGAGCTTGCCTGTTTTCATGCCTGCTGATCTTGTTGACTTGTTCCTCCGTGTCCTTTTCTCAGGTCACGTTCCGCACGCGGATCTACCACTGCAACATTAACAGTCAGGGAGTGATCTGTCTGGACATCTTGAAGGACAACTGGAGCCCAGCGCTCACCATCTCCAAGGTCCTGCTGTCCATCTGCTCTCTGCTGACAGACTGCAACCCCGGTGAGTTTAACGGCACGATGCTGCTCTAAACACTGCAATTAACATGGTTAACGCTGTAAAACAACACAGATCTAAAAACAGCACACTGATCTAAACTAGGGCAGCAAAACATGGACAGAATACCATATTGCGCTTATATTGCTGCATATTGCAATATGCTTTGCAGTGTATTAAAATGTGTGGTGAACCTTTGATGTGGCTTGGTTTGATTGGCCTGATTTATTTTTGATCAAAGTTACATTTTGTTGGACCATTTCAAAGCCTCCATTCATCAAAACCCCCACAGAAAGTCGCCTAGAATGCCTGTGATTGGTCAGGATGCTCACGGCACTCAATAACACACATAATGATTTGTTAGATAGCTCATTTGTGTAAAACAGCCTTCTGTGTTATCATTATTCCAAAGACCAGACTCACAATAACGATAAACAACAATACATTAATATGTATTCATGTGTTCTGAACCACAGTGCAGGACTTAATACAGCACGCTGATTTAAACATGGGTCAGTTAAAGGGGAATTTCACTGATCTTTCATCATTTCTGCATCATTCAGTGGTTGAGATGCAAACAGTCTTCATAGTGTTTTGATGTGAAATGGTTCATTGTTCATTCACTAATAATAATAATAACAATGATAATAATAATAATAAGGCTTATAAGCTTTGTTTATATAGCACGTTTCATAGATTAAAATGCAGCTCAAAGTGCTTTACAATGACAAAGGCAAATAAAGCTCGTAAGAGAGGAAAGAGCACAGAGAAGGTAAAAACATTGAGAAAAGGAAGGAAAATAACTAAAAAAAAAAAACTCAAAAAATAAATAAATAACCATAAAAATAAATAAGCACAAATATTTTTACACAAAATTAAATATCTAAAATAAAATAGCAAAATTAAATAATAAATCTATTTTTTAATTTTATTTTAGATGTTTATTTGACAGGGACAATACAAATAAACATTGTTACATAGAATGCAACACATGTAATGTATATAGAGCATCTAGCTTAAGCTTATTTGCATTCCACAGCTGTTTAATTTAACTGTAAAACTGTAAAAGATGAGTGACTAAAAGTTGTTCTGCGCACTGGCAGAATAAGTAAAAAATTGCTTATAAAAAGTGATATGATACCATAAATAAGCGAGGAAATACAACACATACAAATACAATAAATAAATACAGTATAAACATTGTAATTGAATTGTATGATGTATATAAATTGTACATGGTATATAAATATTGTATAAATACAGTAAACACAACAATGCCTCAGACATCAGGCAGCATATTTGTACCTGTTTCATGTAGTAACTTTCCGTGAGGGAGCTTTTAGAGGTGGACGTCTGGTTCCTATCACCACCACTGTGAACAGCTCTGACTCTGTAAGTTTCTCTAGAACAGAGCGTTTCACACCAAACCACTCTGAACGACTCTGTTTACATCTCAATCATTTAATTATGTGGAAACTTTGCCCAATACTGACCACTAAAGAAATACGCCAGCGTTTTCCAGCCTAATCAGTATCTGCCACACCTGTAGCATATGGTCACCTACCACGGACAGTCATTTCAGCATAGTTTCCTGTATGGAGTACACTCTCAGAAATAAAGGTGTGAAACTGTCACTAGGGCAGGACCCCTCTTGTCACTGGGGTGGGACCCTCAAGGGTACATCTCAGTACCTTTAGTCAGGGAACATAACTGAACCATAATCCACTGAAATGATATGTTCTAAGCTGTACTGACTCCACACACCCCGTCTCGTCTCCAGGCTTTTATTTTACTGTTCTGTTTTAAAACATTCGGTTATGAAAAGGTACAAATACAAACTTTTCACCTGGAAAAACTTATTTAAGGTTCATAACTGGACCTTAAAACCACTGTTGTACCTTTGATTGAACATTTACACTGTTTGTACCTTGATGAACGAAAAATGTACCTGTACTGTCCCTTTATTTCTGACTGTGTACTGATAATAGAACATTTAAAGCATGTTTATAATAGAAGGAAAGGATTGTTCTCCATGGTGTTTGACTATGTGCCACGTGTGACAGATAGAGACAAACACCCACTGCATTAAACAATCTTTGCAACATTTGACCAAAGTTATTTACCTCTAAACAAATAGCTCTTATATGAGTTCATACCAGCTGTCTCAGCGCTACACGTGACCTTAAGGATCTGCTGTCGGATATATTTAAAAGCATTTAAACTGAGACGACTGAAGCAGGCTTAGTGATTGTTTGCAGAGAGTCAAGTTTCTGGGAGGGAAACAAGGTGTTTCCCTCAACACCCTGTCCCTCGCTAAAGGGTGTTAGCTCTTCTCCTACACTGATGATGACACAGTCTGTTTGGACTAAAAATAGCCCTGGGATCCTTTAGGGCTGTTGCTTGCTTAAGATTTTCTCAGTCAACCAAAGGGCCTTACTTTTAACTGTCAGTTTCATTTGCAGAAACATTCACAGCTTTAACTACAGTACACTTGTAAAAATAAACAAATGAGTATGTAAATACAAGGAGTGGGTGATATGGCAAAAATATAATATCATATATACATCAGGAAATGATTACGATGCAGACTATGTCACAATATTTATTTTTGTCTGGCATCTGTTAAGTTGAACCACTGGTGCCACATACACTGACTGACCACTTCGTTATCAGCTCCACTTACTATATAGGTGCACTTTGTAGTTCTACAGTTACAGACTGTAGTCCATCTGTTTCTCTGCATACTTTGTTACCCTGTTCTTCAGTGGTCAGGACCCCCACAGAGCAGGTGTTATATGGGTGGTGGATCATTCTCAGCACTGCGGTGACACTGACGTGGTGGTGGTGCGTTAGTGTGTGTTGTGCTGGTGCGAGTGGATCAGACGCAGCAGTGCTGCTTTTTTCCCTTAAGGTCCACTTTTAACAGTAGTGTGGCTTTATGTACCAACAATTCATTTCTACATCTCGATTGTCCAGCTTCTCTCATCCCTCAGAATTAAACAGGCTGTTTTAGTCACTGTGCCTTTAAGACTGTTGTAAGATAATTGAGCTCTGTTCTGATTGGCTGTTCCACTCCCACCTGCAACTTAAACGTTTTGTCCCGCTCCCGCCTGCAGACCTGTACAGCTGCGTTAGTCACGAGTGAAAATGACTACAGTAGGTCATACTTGCCTGTTGTCAGCTTTATCATTGTGTATTTGCTTTTCTTAAGAGCTCTTTCCCTCAGACTGTCTGAAGTGCCCACCGTTTCTCTAGTCTACAAGAAAGCAGTTCACATGACTGTTGAAGTGATTGGTTGCTTCTATTTAGAACTAGTTCTGCTATTAGGTGTTATTTATATATGTCAATTATTAAGTGATTGTTATAATTTTATTTTAAGTACTGAGTACTATTTTTTTTCAGTACTATTTTTAATACTGAAAAATATATCATGTAACTTTTCACATTTCTAGGCAGGACCAACTCTGGTGAAAGTGCATCATCATGCATTGTTGTGGTTTATTTTTTTATTTTATTTATTTTTCATTAAGGTTTTCATTGAAACTAAATTAAGTGTGATTTCTTTACAAATTATTATTTACAAACAATTATTTTTTGGCTATTTTTCTGGCTTATTTTAATAAATACCCAAAGCAGTATAAGTTATTTTGATACACGAAATGCTAGTACTTTATATCAGCCGAAGTTAGTCAAAATAAGCAACATTATTTGCTCTGTAAAAGACCAAACTGACGTGGAATTTTTAGATGAAAAAAAAGTTTCTTATATAATCAATATAAATCAAATAAAGTGCTACATTGGAAAATAAGAGGCAACTGACTAATGAGCACAATGAGTCATCCATAATTACGCCACAGCATTTTGTACAGGTGTAGCATCAGCATTCAAATTACTGCCTTAAAAAGTATTCAGATCTTAGATATTTATTAGGATTATGTTATGATCTATTTAAGCCAAAGACATTAGTTGAGATAGCAATAAGCTACATATATACAGACTCATCATTTAAGGGGTACTTTCTATGAGGAGGTGTCTGTTCCAAACCATAACCCCTAAATTTATACCTGTGAAAATAATAGTTGCATTTTTTTTGGTATTTTTTCAGTGTTTTTTTCAGAGATCTTTTGGACTTAGTTTAATTAGTTAGGTAAATTTAGATTTATCTAACTAACTTTATTTAGATTTATCATGAGTTTAATTGAAAAATAAAAAACTTCAAAAAATGCTGTCCCACATTTTCATGTCACCACCGAAACACAGTGTTTTAGTCTGTAAGTGGAGCCTAATTTTAGCCACGTCCCTGCATTTTAGAGCAGGAAGTGAGGCTGCATCCCTGTCCCTCATGGCCACATGGTGAGCAGTTAGATCCCACTGTTTTGAGTAACTGTCTCTATGATGATTTAATGTGGGTATAACTGTTCGAAGCTGTGTTTGCTGGTCATGTACTCACTAATGTTTTTGAGTTTTGCTCAAAATGATCTAAAATTGTCAGCACTGAAACATTTGATAAGGTTTCGGTGGTGTTATGATGGTGTTGTTAATGACAAAATTAAATATTCAGTCATTTAACACACTAAACATAATTAAGGTACAGAGTCACTCAAAGCAGAGGAATTTTAGTCTAAAGTCCAAAATGTGTTTTCAGCTCTGACTTTGAACCAGTTCAGTCGAATGATCCATATACTCCAGTGTGTATAGTGTACACACTGCTAGGCTGGAAAAGAAGTCGTTTAAATATGCAGAGCACTCCATTCCCGGGATTTTGAAAGTCCTTTGCTGCATGCCAGGCCTAACTAAAAGCAGCTCTACAGATTCTTTGCATGGCTAAGACCTCCAGGCTCCAGTTTCAGATCCTCCATTAAGGCCTGTGTGTGTGCTGTGCAGCTCTGTGTGTGTGTGTGTGTGTGTGTGTGTGTGTGTGCTGAGCTGAGTCAGCTTTGAGGGCTCTGAAACTCAGCTGTCTGATCTGCAGTCACTCTCAGCTCCACGTCATCCCTCATGACTGCAGAGCTTATTCCACCCAGACCTGCTTCAGCATGAGTACGAGGACAGACGTAACTGATAAACTAGATCTTTTAGAACTTATTCTGAAGCCCTTTGGGAGCTGGGTCAGTTTTACCTGGCGAGGTCCTGTAATTTATGGGGCCCATTATCCTTTCTAAGATCCACTTGCAACATTTCTGCAGGTTTATGTACCAAAAGCAGTTTTAATGAATTAATTAATGACTATTTTCCAGCCTCGATCGATCAGAGTTAAAGTTTTTGCAGTGCAATAAGCAGCTTGAGGCTGTATTGTACAGTGTGGGTAGCACAGTTAATGCTGCATGATGCAGAGAGTTAAATTAGTGTGATGCATGGCCTGGAGTGGCTTATTGCTTTATTCTAATGTGGGAAATAGAGAGATACGGGAAAGCTCTGTATGAATAGACATAGCTGAACTGTAATAGAGCCTTCACTATTACTCTAAATAAAACCGAAGAAAACCCTTTTATGAGAAGGCATGTTCAAACTATGTACAGTGTGTAATTGTAATACACCCTTCATCAGTGCAATTGGGAAATTGTACTACAAATAACAATAATAATAGTAACAATAATAATAATAATAATAATAATAATTAGAGCTGGGCAGTATGACAATATATAACATTATCTTGATAAATTATGTCACAATACAATATGCTTTTCTGAACAGATTGTGATATCAGTACTTGTACGCTCCTAAAAAGATGGTTCTTTATAGAACCCTTAACACCCAAAGACTCCTTTGCATGATTAAAGACGTCTTTGCATGGTGCACCTTCAGATTGATGGATAATGTTCTGTATATGGTTCTATATAGACACTTTTTGAAAAGGGTTCTTCTTACAATGTCACGCTTGTTACAATAGAAGAACTGTTTTGGTACTACATAGAATTCTTTTCAAAAAGGTTCTATATAGAACTATCTACAGCACATTTCCCATCAATCTGAACAACGCTTTCACAATGAAAGTACACTTTTAATCATGCAAAGGGTTTGTTGAGTGTTCATGGTTCTATATAGAACCATTACTGTTACTAAAGAACCCTTGAAGAACCATCTTTTGTCAATGTGTAGAACACAGTTCGGTGTAGAACCATCTACAGCACATTCTCCATCAATCTGAAAAAACACATTCATGATGCAAAGAACCCTTTAATCATGCAAAGTGTTCTTTGAGTGTTCATGGTTCTACATAGAAGCATTTTCTTTGCTAAAGAACCCGTAAGGAACCTTTTTTTCAACGTGTAGAACATAGTTCTGTGTAGAACCATCTACAGCACATTCTCCATCAATCTGAAGAACACATTCATGATGCAAAGAATCATGCAAAGGGTTCTTTGAGTGTTCATGGTTTCACATAGAACCATTTCCTTTATTAAAGAACCCTTGAAGAATCATCTTTTTTAAAAGTGTGGAACTCAGTTCTGTGTAGAACCATCTACAGCACATTCTCCATCAATCTGAAGAACACATTCATGATGCAAAGAACCCTTTAATCATGCAAGGATTCTTTGAACCATTATAGAACCATTTTCTTTACTAAAGAACCCTGGAAGAACCATCTTTTTTCAGTGTGTAGAACACTGACCAACTGCATGTTTCATTATAAAGTTCGTCCTGTTTAACTGGATTTAGTGCAGCACAGTATATAAAATACTGAATAAAGATCATTGTGCTCAGTTTTAATAGTATTTTTTTTTTTTTATTAATTTTTACCAGATTTTCTCCCCAATTTAGTCGTCTCCAATTCCACCCGCTAGTTAGGACTCCCCCAATCACACACGACGCTATCAACGCTAGGAGGGTGAAGGCTAACACAGGCTTCCTCCGAGACCTGTGAAGCCAACCACCGCTTCTTTTCGAACTGCCACTCACGCAACGTCACTGGACAGCCGAACGCACTCAGAGGAAAGCGCCAACCGCCAGATCTGTTACGTCAGCTAACAGACGCCTGCGCTGACTAGGGGGGGCATCCCACCCACCCAGAGAGAGCGAGGCCCATTGTGCTCTCTCGGACTCCCGGCTACGGATGGCTGTAGCATCACCAGGGATCGAACTCGCGATCTCCTGATGATAGGGCCAACGCTTAGACGGTTGCGCCACTCGGGAGCCCCTTAATAGTATTTTTAATATAGAGCTGTTGGTTTTTCTCTTTTCCAACTGATCGGACTGAAAATAAATATTGTGACGTTTTATGAACATTTTTTAAGTATCGTGGTGTTTTATTTTTGCCATATCGCCCACCTGTAATACTAACACTATAAATAAAACCCCTCTGAGTAGGTGTGTCCAGATGTTTGACGAGTAGGTCTGGCCTACACTATAGGTTGGTTTCTCAGAGAGGGATTAAGCCACATCCTAGGAAACAAGTCCAACATGTCCAAAAGTATCCAGACAGCAACTTCAGAGAGCTTTGAGGACGTCCGCAGCACTGTGGCCTGTTCAGAGAGCTGCACGCTGCTGGGTGTTTTTTGAAATGTGACCTCAGATGTTTCTCTCTTTCTCCCTGTTCTGTCTTTCTTTCTCACTCTCTCTGCTTTTGTTCACTTGTCCACAATGCGCTCTCTCTCTCTCTCTCTCTCTCTCTCTCTCTCTCTCTCTCTCTCTATTCCGTCCAGGGTGGTTCAGAGGCTTATTGAGACGACAGAAGAGCACACTTGTATTTTCAGTTCTTTTGGGTTACAGAGGTTATTATTACTGTCAGTCTAAAATTGCTCTCTCTCTCTCTCTCTCTCTCTCTCTCTCTCTCTCTCTCTCTCTCTGTCTCTCTCCCATCTTTTCTTGTTCTCTCTTTATTTTCTTTCTCTTTATTCCTTTCTTCTTTTGTGCTCTCTCTCTTACTTTTTTCACTCTCTTTTTTGATCTCTCTCTCCCCTTTTCTGTTTTCCTCTCCTTTCCTCTTGTTCTGTTGTCTTTCTGTTCTACTCTCTCGCTCTCTTTCTCTTTCTCTCTCTCTCTCTTTATCTACCTTTTCTTAACCTTAATCTTTTTCATCTCCCCTTTCTGCCTTTCTATTTGCCCTTTCTTTCTCTCTCTCTCTCTCTCTCTCTCTCTCTCTCTCTCTCTCTTTTCTCTGTCTTCCCCCTTTTTCTCTCTCGTCTCTCTGTTCTGTCTCTTTCTTCTTTTTTCTCTTTACTTCTTCTCTTAATCTCTTTCTCTCACCCTTCCTCTCTCTCATCCCCTTCTTTCTCACTCTTTTTTCTCTTTTCGCTCTTCCCCTTTTCTTTTTTCTCTCTTGTCTTTTCTTCTTTTTCCGTCTCTCTCCTCTGTCTCTCTCTGTCTGTCTCTCTTCTTCCTCTCTCTCTTTCCTCTTTTTCCATCTCTTTCTCTGTTTCTGTCCATCTCTCTCTCCTCGTTTTCTCTCCCTTTTTTCTCTCCTCTCTCTTTTTCTCTCTCCTCTTTTTCTCTCTCCCTCTCCTCTCTCCTTTCTTTCCCCCCTCTTTGCCCCCTCTTTCCTCCCATTCTCTCACTCTCTTTCCCTCTCTCCTCTTTTTCTCTTTCCCTTTATCTCTTTCTCTCGCTCTGCTTTCTCTTTATCTCTTTCCGCCCTCTCTTTCTTTCTCCATATCTCTCTCTCCATCTCTCTCTCTCTCTCTCTCCTTTCTTTCCACCCTCTTTCCTCCCTCTTTCCTCCCATTCTCTCACTCTCTTTCCTTCTCTCCTCTTTTTCTCTCTCCCTCCATCTTTCTCTCGCTCTACTTTCTCTTTTCTCTTCCCTCTTTCTTCCCTCTTTTTCTTTCTCCATATCTCTCTCCATATCTCTCTCCATCTCTCTCTCTCTCTCTCTCTCTCTCTCTCTCTCCATAGCGGATCCTTTGGTTGGAAGTATAGCCACTCAGTATTTGACCAACAGAGCGGAACATGACAGGATAGCCCGACAGTGGACCAAGAGATATGCCACATAGACGTCCACCCTCCCCGACACCCCCCAGAACACCCCGCCGAACCCTCCAGACCCCCACCAGACACCCCCACCAGCTCCTGCAGGGGTGAGCGGATCCAGGAGAAGCAACTTTACAAACGCGCAGCAGATCTTTATAGCCTTTACGATACGGACTGGTATGTATACGTCAAACCAACCCTGCCCTGTTTATCTGACCCAGAACGGACTCGGGGAACACCTGCACAGCTGACCGCTCCGGTGTAGAGGGTTTTTTTTTTTTGGTTTTTTGTTTTGTTTTGTTTTTGTAGCTGTAGATTTAGTTCTGTTTAAAATGCCTACTTGCAAGTCTCGCTTCTTTGGGATATTAAAAAAATAATAAAAAGCAAAAAAACAAATGTATTTTGTGATGTAATAAGGAAACTGTTCCTAAAAGTCAACCAAATATTATGGTGCATTTTAGCCGAATCCATTATCTGTATGAAGTCAAAAACAAAAAAAGTGTAGCATCTAGCTGTAGAATATTAGAAATGATGTCATTTCTATGCGCCCCACGTGCTCCATGATGATGATGATGATGATGATGTTGTGAACCTGTCCCTCTTTTTGTCACTTTGTAATGAAGAGAAGATCATTGAACGTTTTGTAGCTCAGCTGAAATGAGCCACTGATGTAATATCCCCTCATACACAATAAAAAAACTACAATAACCTGTCCACTCGGAGGAGTGTGTGTGTGTGTGTGTGTGTGTGTGTGTTTGTGTACTAGGAAGGTGCATTCTGACTAATTTTGATATTTGAGTATCTGTAAGAGCTGTTGAACAGATATCTGGTGAACCACTGAGTCGGAAAAACAACGTTGTATACATATCGCTGCTGTCGGAAGAAAACCCCGTATCTCCATTTTTGTCGTTTTTCAGCTTTTGACATTATTTAAAAAAGGCCTGATCCCCTTTACATTGTGTGTAAATTTCATGTAGAATGGACCAAAAGAAACAGCCCAAAATGAATTCTGGTTCCATTGACTTACATTGAAAGTCAAAGTCAAGTCAAAGTTTATTTATGTAGCGCTTTTTACGACAGGCGTTGTCACAAAGCAACTTTACAGAAAAGTCCGGGTCCGAGCCCCCATGAGCGTCGCCAGTGGCAACAGTGGCAAGGAAAAACTCCCTAAGAGCAAGAGGAAGAAACCTTGAGAGGAACCAGGACTCTAAAGGGGAACGCATCCTCCTCTGGTCCACACCGGATAGCAAACAGCATTAGTAGAATACAGGACGGGGAAAAACAGGCGGAGCAATGGTTAATTAGATAGTTTGAGTTTATGCAGCAGCAGCAGGAGGGTCAGTTCATGCAGGTGAGGTTTGTACAGCTTTGTACAGCGTGAAACTCCATGGTGGTCAAAACGGTGCAGATCAGCCAACAGAGATGCAGCTCTGGTGACTTTAGCAGCTCTGGTGGCTCCCATGTGGCGACTCAGGCAGACGACACTCAGGGGCTCAAATAAAGGGAGAGAGAGCGAGAGAGAGAAATTGATTAAGAGGACAGGTCCGTTTACGGAGAGATATTAGTGAGTGAATAGTGCAACAACTGATATTAGCAGAATGCTTGTGCAAACAGAAAAGTTTTGAGTCTAGTGTTAAATGTAGAGAGTGTGTCTGAGTCCCGAACCGAGGTTGGGAGGTGATTCCACAAAGTAAAGTATGTCCTTTTCCTGTAAAATTCTCATTTCGGACATACGAGCTTTTCTTCCAACAACAGCGATAAATATATATATATATATATATATATATATATATATATATATATATATATATACACATACAAAAAGCACCAAAAAACAGTCAACTAGAAAAACAATTATTTTAAACCAGACGGACAAGTATGCTAACCCCCTGAGCGTGTCAGCTAAGCTAAAGTTAGCTTCACGTAATGATAGCTGCTTGTAGGGCAAAAGTGTTTAGCTACATAGCTAAGCTACATTTAAACGAGTTTGAATTTCAGTCAAACTACAAACAAAAACATGTTTAATACGACACAAATGCATCAGTCAACTGAAAACAGAAGAAAATAGGCACAATTTGTAAACATATTCCTCGGCGGAAACTGCCGCTCCGCCTGCCACCTATTTCAAACTGAAGCGATGGAACTCTCGGCCGGTGAACAGGATTGTGGGATTGCCTTCTCTGAGAAGGATACATGCGACGCTGCCTTGGAATCTGTTTAAAATAAGGCACCTTAGCAGGCAGCTGACTTACGCTGCCTTCTGAATGGGACAGGCTTCGTCTCGGGAGCACGCAAATGCTGCCTGCTTAGACAGCTGCCTCCTGATTGGAACGCACCGAATGGCAATGAAAACCAAACGAAAGTAGTGTCAGGCTGTAGATTTGGCGTTTTTGGGTGACAGCACTGGTGCTACAAAATTATGGCAAAGCGCAGAGAAACGTTTTATTATTCAAAAACAGCAGAGGGGCATCAGTAGCTTTCTGTGTTGTATATGTTGTAGTGCAGGGGTATTCAAACTGTGGGGCAGGCCCCCCTAGTGGGGCGTGAAGGAATTGCAGGGGGACGCAGGTGAGAGTTGAGATAGGAAATTGCAAAAAATAAATATTAAAACGACTCTTATAAAACTTTTTTTATGAGGCTCTTTTTGTCATGTGCTGCTTTTTATTTTAGTTTGTTTTGTTAGCCAGCTATTAATGGACAATACAAGTTCTGTGGGACTGGCAAGGAGGCCTCGAGGGAAAATTTGAATACCTCTGTTGTAGTGGCTGCCCCTTCAGATGAGCTAACAGGTCTAACTAGTGTCACGTTGGACACTGATGTGGATGCATCATCTTCTACACGAGCTATTTTCTCCTCAGTGGATGATGTTTCAACATATTTTCTGTCAGAGAAATAGATGTTCATTGTTCGTGGACCAACATGGCTAACATCAGCGAGAGTAGTTAGCCTGGTAATAGTGATTTGTGCTCACCTCGAATGGAGAACCGAGTGTTGGAGTACCCGTGCACATCCCTAGTGAGAACACTGCTGTTTAAAAGTTTGGAATCACTTGTTAGAATAAATGGTAACACTTTACTGTAGAGTGCTGCTCATAAGGCTTTAATGACACCTACTTTAGCTTATGACAACTGACATAACCCTGCATAAATGTTTATAAAGGCTTCTTTCAACAGGTGTCATCTGTCATAAAGGCTACATTAGCTAACTTTGGTCAAAACTGGTAAATGTAAAATTTATAGCAAATGATGCCTACTGGAAAAGCATTTATGAACATTTATGTCAGTTGTCATGACAAGCATATGTAAGTGTCATGAAGCCTTAGGAACAGTAGCCTACAGTAAAGTGTTATCGAATAATTTCTGGGCCTAAAGTTCTGAGAAAATTAGTAAAAATATAAGAATTACATAAATGTGGTGGCCTGCAGGAACTCCTCACATGGGGAAATACTGACTTTTGGGGCTTTTTATGCTTTGTGTTTTTGTTTTTTCAAGAATTTTCATGAACGTTACTTTTTGGGTTTTTAATATTTATCAGACACTAATTTATGACATTTTGAAGTTTTACCATCTCTGAAAATGCAAAAAAGAGAACATCTTGTTTACAGGTTTGACTGCGTTTCCATCAGGGTTCTGTTTAATCAGGAGGCAGCAGAGCATAAATTAAGATATTTAAATCAATCTGTTATTGTATTCATGAACGCCTGTAGATGTAAATGTCAACCTCTAGAGAGTCACTGTTCTATTCAAAACAGTGTAGATTCACTCAGACTCGTATAAACATTACTAACATCTACATAACAGTGGTTTATCCAGTTTGGAGCTTCTTTACTGTGGTGTTTCTCTGGTATTTAAACTTTCTTTCCACAGAAGCAGAAACTGTATTTTTACTGTATTTAACGGTAAAACGGCTCTCACAGTTAAATACACACAGACACATTCAAACACGTTCACATTCTCTTTCTTTCTCTCTCATCCCTCTCTTTCTCTTTCCCCTTTCCTTTTCTTTCTCCTCTCTCTCTCTTTCTCTCATCCCTCTCTCTGTCTCTCTTTCCCCTTTCCTTTTCTTTCTCCTCTCTCTTTCTTTCTCATCCCTCTGTCTCTCTTTTCCCTTTCCTTTTCTTTCTCCTCTTTCTTTCTCTCTCATCCCCCTCTCTCTCTTTCCCTTTCCTTTTCTTTCTCCTCTCTCTCTTTCTTTCTCTCATCCCTCTGTCTCTCTCTTTCCCCTTTCCTTTCTTTCATCTCTTTCTTTCTCTCATCCCACTGTCTCTCTCTCTTTCCCCTTTCCTTTTCTTTCTCTCCTCTCTCTCTCTTTCTTTCTCTTTCATCCCACTGTCTCTCTGTCTCTCTTTCCCCTTTCCTTTTCTTTCTTCTCTCTCTTTCTTTCTCTCTCATCCTTCTCTCTTTCCCCTTTCCTTTTCTTTCTCTCTCTCTTTCTTTCTCTCTCATCCCTCTGTCTGTCTCTCTTACCCCTTTCCTTTCTCCTCTCTCACTTTCTTCTCTCTCATCCCTGTCTCTCTCTCCCTCTTTCTTTGTTTCCTCTCTCTCTCTCTCTCTCTCTCTCTCTCTCTCTGGTGTTTGTGTACAGAGTGAGATTAATTCTGACCGGTGATCTGTCACATATACACCCTGCAGGAGAACTGAATGGGGGTGAAGTCTGCAGCCCCCTGGTGGCTCGTATTTTAATGACGCTCTCAGCAGAGGTAGAGGGGCCTCCTGTCAGAGCCTGATGTCATTCACTCTTTAAAGGGACAGTCTGGTGAAAAATCAACTTTGTCACATTTGGGCGCCCTAAAACATGATTACACCTCTCTTAATAAGAGTCTTTGCAGTATGTAGACTGACCCGTCACTCAAACAGCAGCTCTACAGTCTTGTGAAAGTAATTTCCTTTATTTATTTTCCATTTACAATTGGCTTTAAGCATCAGAAAACATATCGAACAGAAAATTACACATAAGCCTCAGCTAAATATATAATCAAATGTTTCAGTATTTAGTGTTTTTATTACAGCTTCCATTCTTTTCAGGAGACTCACTTTCAGTTCCTCAAAGAATCTGCAGACACACCTCCAAAGTTCAGTCTTAGAAGCTGGTTGATGATTTTCTGAAGTAATCAAACACATTCAGTGGTGTTGAGGTCTGGACTCTGGGGTGGTCGGTCCATTGGTCAGCTTCTTTGTTTGATGTGTCCATCTCCTTTTCTCAGTGAGGTTCTTCTTGATCAGCTACACATCCTTTCAGACCCACAGCGCTGAGTCGTCTTCTCACAGTGGAAGGATGGACAGAAACACCTGTGGATGTTTTCAGATCTGAAGCAGCTTGATTTTCTCCTCTCTCTCAGAGATGAAAGTTTTAAGTGCTGTTTATCTAAAGGGGGCAGTTTTGGTGTCTAGCAGGTCTTCCAGGTGGTTGTTAGGAGACACATTTTCTCTGTAGCTTTTAATCATTTTTTTAGCTCCAGTTTTGGAAACTCATGTTTTTTTTTCCACTTATTTTCCTTTAACGTTATGTCAGTGGATTTTCTTATATCTCATTTCAAAAATATCTCCTGAGAAACGAATAACTTTCTTTTTTAAAGGTCATTTTCTATGGAAGTTAAATAAATTAAAGGTGGTCTCTGACTTTTGCACATTTAAAATTTCCAATAACCACATCTGGCCGACTTCTGTGCCATCTTTCCATGCAATGTGGGCCACCAGTGATTGCAGTATGTGTTT